GAGTATTGTTGCCTGTTTATATGCAGTAGCTTTCCCTGCCAGTTTTGGTGGGGGGTGTAGTTTCCTCCTTGGTGGTTCCTTGACATATTGTTTTCTGCCTGATTGTCTGATGCTGATCCCTACTTATCTGAATGTTGGCTGCTGGAGGGGATGCATTTTAGACTTATTGTTTCCCTCCTTTAATGTCTCTTTTGGATGGTGTGTAAATGTGGTTTATTTCTATGTGTCTATTGATGGCTGATTTGTCTGAGTGCCGAGCTTCCAGGAATTCCCTAGCATTTTTGGATTTGGCTTGATCTAAGATGCTAGTAGTTTCCCAGTTAAGTCCACACACTTCAACACTGAGCTACAGATACTCTCTTCTGTTGTCTTATTTTGCAGAAAAAGGTTGTTCATTTGTGTATATTTGCTCTTCCCTTTAAGCAGGAAAACACGATACCCTGTGTTCCAGTCCTGGTACAGTCTGCCATTCTCCTGGAATGTACCGTCATACCTAAAGTAATTTATTGTTCTGTGGTGATTTGTAGTGGTCTGGGCACTGTCAAGCCCCCAAACAACCCATTTAAGACTAAATAAGACCTTTGACAATTAAAAGGCTTTGCAAGGCCTATATATGTTTTAGTAATCACATTGGTCATTTTTCTCATTTAATGGGAACAGACAATGTGGAAAAGTAGAATATAACATAAACAGTATAGTAGAATTATGATGCAATCCATGGTAATTACAATTCAACACCCAAATTATGCAAGAACCTGAAAATCAACGAAGATGAAAAGTGGAAAAATCCTTTTTCTTTAAAAAAAAAACACAAACTTTAATTCTGTATCAGGTCTATTTCCCCTTGTTTTTATTTTGTTTTTATGGTTTCACTATATGCTATTTTATTCACAAGAGGGAGCTATTTTCCTGTATAACACAAACTCTTCTAGCACCAGTTCTGCAAATCTCATGAATGAGTATCAGTTAAAAAATTGCATTGTATATATATTTCTCCCAACTGAACTCAAACTGTAAAATAGATAAATGCAGTAGATTATTAATATTGTTTGTATTCATATAAAACTGTCAAGATCCTACTTTACAGAGGGCATTCCTCTATTAATCAGAAATGGAGAAATTGCAGCCCTGTTGAAGAACTACAGCTCCCAATATCCTTTGCCATTGGCCATGCTGATTTGGGCTACTGGGAGTTTTAGTTCAACACCACGTGGAATCACAAATTCCCTACTGTTGATCTGTTTGAAGAGTTGCCTAATTCATGTTCAATTTGAAGACGGTTGAAATGGCCTATCAACAGTGACCACCTCAACAGGAGACTGAGTAGCTCAATAGGATTTTTTGGTTGCCGTCTCTTAAATATGTTTTGGGGTGATGAATCTTGTCTTTGTTTTGTAGTGTATAAATAGGCATCCTACTATTGCACTCCTTAGTTTCCAAGATCCATACAGATGGTAGAGAAACCCCCAGGAAACAATATGAGAAACTGGGCTTAAACCTAAGCACACAGGTTTAACTGGATGTTGAATCACTCGTGAAATCTTTATATGGATTGCCTAATATTTCCTTTCTAGATAAAAATCTTAAACTCATTTCAATATGTGAAGATTATAGGGAACATGAGGACAAAGTTTTCATCTTTATCTATAATAAATTGAAACAGTAGAACAAAACAGAGAAACCCAAAGCCTGGTGTATTTTCCTCAATGATGAAAATTTCAGCTGCAGTCTATGAAAATTTCTTGACCTTCTGGCTAAGATCAAGTGTAGGTTTCCTATGTGAAAGCCACATTTTGGTGATACTTTAAATAACCATGCTATGCTCATAGAAATCAGCTCATAATATCCTGTAGGTATATTTCACTATGATTATGAGGAGTAGCTCTTTCTGACTAAAAGAGGGCTTTTATGAAAACGTAATAAATAGACTGGAAGCATTTCATGCTGAAACACTTAAACAGTACGGATGTGAATGAGACCTCAAGGAACTTCATGTTTGAGCAATAACAACAACCAACTTCAGAATGAAGGTATTCCCACTTCTTGAGTAAATATATGTGAATCAACTGACAGTTGTGTTCCAGGTAATTAGTTGCTTCAGTGCTGATGGTGACTGGATTAACATAATACACTATGACACAGTATGGCTAACCATAGTTTATTAAACTATAATTGGCTGGGCTTATATAACATGCTAAACCATGAAGCATGGCTTAAAAACCATGACAGTTGGGTTCAGACATGCTAAGCTAAAACCAAACAAATCATATTCCAGCTTAGTGTGAAATGCAAACCCAGCCATTATCCATAGAGATCTATCTCTTCTTTGACAATATTTTATTTTTTATTTGTTTTGTTCAGTTTAGGCACCGCTTGACTCCAAACTGATTCTGGGTGGTTCACAATATAGCAAACAATAAAAACAAAATACAGAGCAAGTAAGCAAGATAGGATCTAGTTACTCAGTACAAAAATGTAGACAAAAATACTTTCAGCAAGTGGCTCTAGCCATCTTATCCCAAGGCCTGGGAGAACAGTCAGATCTTCAAGGACTTATGGAACACCAACAGGATGGGTGCCATACACATTTCAAGGGGGAATCATGTTCCAGAGATTAGGCATGGTGACAGAGAAAGCATATTTCCTGGGTCACAATAGATGGTGCTGTTTAATCAAAGGGACCCAAAGTGCACCAACTCTGCTGGCTTATACTGGCTGGGCAGAAATCATGGGAGATAGGCCGTCCCTCAAATAACCTGGCCCTATGCTATATAGGGCTTTATTGGTGATGACCAGCACCTTGAATCACACGTGGAAGCATACTGGAGACCAGTGTAGCTCATTAGTAGAGACATAACATGAGCATACAAAAGCATACTCATCACCAGTTGAAGTTTCTGAAGTTTTCAAGGGTCCCATTGTAGTAGTCAAGCTGTGAGGTGGCTGGGACATGAGGGCCTTCTGATCCAAGAAGGGGCACAACCGTCCCACAAGATGAAGCTGTGCAAAGGCCTTTTTGGCCATATCTGCTACCTACTCTTTGAGCTGTGAGTCCAGGAAGACCCCCACATTGTGCACCACTCTTGAATGGGGAAGTGCTACAGATTCTCAGATCCAGGGTGCCCTAATATCCAAGCCACTTTATCTTTGTAGAATTGAGTCAGAGCCAGTTGCTCCCCATCCAGGCCCACGTAGCCTCCAGGCCCTGGGACAGGACCCCAATAGCATCACTCGGCCAGCCTGGGGTTGAAAGATATAGTTGGGTATCATCAGCATATTGATGATAACGAACTTCAAACCGGCAGATGATCTCACCCAGCAGCTTCACATAGATGTTAAACTGGAAGGGAGAGAATGTTGAACCCTGTGGCATCCCACATAAGGAGGACCTAGGGAATGGCTCTGTCCCCCTGTGAACACTGGAACTGGCCATTAAGGAAGGAAAAGATCCGCTGTAAAATGGTACCCCTAATTCACAACCCTTGCAGCTGGTACAGAAGGATACTGTGGTCAGTGATATCAGAGCCACTGGGAAATGAAGGAATGCAAGGATGTATGCACCACCTCCATCTTAGCTCTGCTGTTGATCATCAATAAGCATGATCACGCCTGTCTCTGTACTGAAACCAGGCCTGAAAGCTGACTGAAAAGGGTCTAGATAATCTGCTTCTTCCAGGGTCCTCGGTAACTGTGTCCTGATATGATGGACTGGAATTGTGGGGGCCAGAATCGGGGAGTAAAGAATCCTCTTTCATCTCCCGAAGCGTGAGGAAGAAATAAGCGGATGAGGCTGGCACCTCCCTGAGGAATTCACTCTGTTTTGACTGGCTGACTTTGGGAACTCAGGTTTCAGTCTGGGAAGACTCTTGGTAGAGGTTGCAGCTAATAAACCTTGTTGGATTGAATCTGCATGGTCTCCTGGAGTTCC